GCATGACAGATTTTACACCTAGAGAAAAGTGTAAGAAAAAGAGATTCTCGCCTTGTTAAGTAAACTGGAAGTGAAGATAAAGATTTGACGGGTTCTGACTTCCTGGCTGCTCTGGGCGCGATGGCACCTGACAATTCTAAGAAGATTCTAACACTCTCACTGGCCTCCATCTTCCTGGTGAGCTCACTTGAGCTCCTCTTCCATCCTAGAGGTTTGGGAGGTTTGACAAGCTCTCTGCTTGAATCCCAAGACCCTGGGGAGCATCCATCCTTATGGCTTGAATCACGGCAATTTCACTGAGTGACCCAAATGGTAGCTTCTTCATGTACAGGCAAGAGCTGCGACTTGTGGCCAAAGAAACCCCCCAAAACAAAACACTCAGCTTTTCAAAATGCAAAGTCCATAGCATCTTGTCAGGCCTTTGCTTCAGGTGTGACCTCATTCATCCAGCAGAAGGAACTGTTTACCAGACTAGAAATTACATTAAATCATAAAGAGGGAAATGGTACTCTCCTTTGTCCTAATCAGCTATGTCGTGGGATAGCATTCAGAAGGATCAGGGCAACTGTGTCTGCTTGCACTGAGTTACACTACACTGATTGAGTTACACGTCAGTCCGGATGCAGCAGCGGTGTACAAGGGAAGTCACACACGTGTTTCGTTGTCACCTCCTCCGTGTGGCAGTGAGTTTTTCCTCAGCCATACAGGTCGCAGAGGTCAAAGAGTCTCCCGATTCCACCATTTTTGTTTTACTTATTGTGGATTTTCTGACGGGAAATGGAAATTTGGTTGATAATTACCAGGCATAGAGATAAGGTTTCCTCATTAAAGTCTCATAAAACCGTGAAAATAAATCATTCCAAGTGGAGAGAGAAAGAAAATCTTCTGTTTAGACTTTTCCATGACCGTTTAGACCAATTCTTTTTCCTCTTCCAGCCTGGTGACTTTATTTCCAGCTAGCGCAGGGCCTGATAATCAGGGGAAAGAATGTAGAGGCCTGCAGACATTTTCTGATTTCAGGTTAATGGCTTGGTATGTCAAGGATAGGCCGAGCCTGGCAGAATAAATGATGAAAGTGCAGCTGAAGAAACACAGCGTTGGAAACCCACATCATACATGTCTACAGAGATGATATAGACATAAATAAATCCTACCATTTCAAGGAAATGGAAGGGGTCCACTTGGCCTGTTCTGGAGATCAACGCTAGTAGGAGTCACAGCAGCAGCTGACAGTCCCCAAGGCGACTCCACTAGAAATGGGGTCAGCCCACCCTTTCCTGCTCCCCTCTCCAGGAGCGTCCTTCCTGTTCTGAGCATCAGAGCCAGGCCCTTAGGGACCCTGATGCAACTCAGTTTCTCCCAGGAACGCCTCTTCAGGAATTCCCCAACTTGGCCACAAGCCTGGCAGCTTTCCAATTTTCCTACCAGAATTTTCTCTGGTCCCAAGTCCCAGCTTTTGGGGCATTTTGCTTTCTGCAGAGTTAGTGTGACCAGCCGATGAGAACAATGGTGTTACTGGATCACTAGATGGTAGCAGTGGCCTTCCAGGTTTCCTGACAAAAACCTGACCTTGGTATGTTGACGGTTCCCAGTGGAGCTGTGCCTACAGCCCGCTCCGTCATTAGAACGCCCTACGGGAACAGGCAGAGAGACCCACTCTAAGGTCAGTTAGTAATTTCAGACTAAAATGAATCCAGATTATTCATAAACTAGATTATTAAAATGAAGATATCCAGGGCCGATTACTGGGTGGCAGGGTGACCAGCTGTCTGGGTTTGCCAGGGACAGAGGTGGACTCACAGTGATGAAACCTGACAAACCCAGATAAGCCGGTCCCCCTACCGGGTGGACCAGAGACATTAACTGAAACCCACCACAGTGCTCATTTCACCCTTTCCAAGGAGACTGAAACATGTCTTGGCAGTGACTGCAAAGTACCCCAATATAAGGTTTCGATTTAAGTCTATGAACCTAGTTCCTCACCTCCAGTGGCAAGTACGGCAGAGTCCTGAAGCTCCAGCTGAAAGGCTCCACCTGCCTCTAATGTCTTAGTCTGCTTGGGCTGCCATAACAAAATACCAGGCCGGGTGGCTTAAACAACAGACATCATCCAGAAGTCCAAGACGAAGTTTCTAGCCAGTCGGTTTCTGGTGAGGGCTTTCTTCCTGGCTTGTACATGGCCACCTTCCTACTGTGACCTCATGTGGCCTTTCATCGGTGTGTCTGTACCGGGAGAGAGAGAGAAAGCAAGCTCTCGGGTGGCTCTTTTTATAAGGACACTAATCCTACTGGATCAGGGCCTCACGTTTATGATCTCATTTGACCTTAGTTCCTTCCTCAGAGGCTACATTTCATTCCAGCCACGTTAGGGGGTTAGGGCTTCAACATATGAATTCGGGGCAGATACCAAACATTCAGTTCATAACAGTTGCGTCACTCAAAAGAACTGACCAATTTTAAATCCCCATTCTTAAAGATCTATTGAGAAAATGGGTATGACAGCCCTTGGAGACCAGAATGCCCTGTACAAGTTAATCATACTGTGATGATCAGGGTGGTGATAACCAGCCATCAGGTTGGTGTTTTAGGTCTTCCTCTCGACCACCTTCCTAAGTGTGTTTACTATTCAATGGCTTTTGTCTGCTGCTCATCACCTGTGCCTTCAAATGAGCCCCAGAATGACCTCTCCCAAGACACCCAGCCTAGCTGCCAGACATCCTCTTCCTCCACATCCTCTGCCCTGCCTCCCCTCTCTCCACCCCGCTGCCATGCTCTGGTGCTGTAGCCAAAGCGCGGGTCAGTGGAGTGATGTGCTGTTCTGCATTTGAAGCTCCTGGCCCAGAAGGTTATTTTCCACATAATTGTGTAAAGTCTCCGATTACCCAGTTAACTTTATTCAATTCCCTCTCATTCTTATTTGATAAGGAGGGGTGCCTACTGTCCTCTCTTTTCAGAAGTTTTTATGAATACTTGAATTTATGGTTCAAGTTTTTTCACCAAAGAACTCTGGAGGTGTTACCAAGTATAGTGAAGGGGACCTTGGGCATAATCTCTCCACCATCCAAATCGACCTTGTTACCCTTTATCTCTAACTGAAAACATCCAGGCAAAGGTTTATTCCTAAATCTCAGTGTCGAGAGCCTTGAGTTAGTACCTCATTACTTGAATTTTCATGGAAACAACAGCATGACTATTTTCATAGGTTTTGCAGCTATACTTTTGGGTTTTCCATTATACGCCATGTATTAAATGGCTTCCCTCGCTTTGTTAAGCGTTGTTTGTGACACTGCAGAAGGACAATCCCTGTTTGTCACAGGGAGCTTAATTATCCAGATGAAGTGCCCTTGTTGAATGTCGGGCCCATTGTAAGAACGTTTGTTGAATGACTACATGAACTTTGATTCTGTTATTTGCTCCTGCATTCCTGCTTTTGCTCATACTGGCTGTGATTCCATGACTGATAAAACGGGGAAGAGTTTTAAATAAGAATTCAAGCAGAGAAGAACTGCTGGCTGTTCCCAGAAAGTGTCCAGCATTCCAGGAGAAACTTTGGTTCTCCTGTCAGTGTGGTTCGTTCCCCGTGTTCAGCACCACAGCTGCAGTTTGGGGCACACACAACCTCTGAATATGTTTGCCTCCATTTGGACCATTGCACTACAGAACAGACAGCAAGGCCACGCAAACCTTCGAGGCTGTGCCTACACAAAGCATCCACTTGGTTACATAAGCAGCACAATCTAGTCACGAGAATAAGAGTTTTTGAAATTTAAAAGTCAGGAAGGGATGGACGAAGAGAGTAACTTTACAGTGGAGAAACCTGACAAACACTGCTTTAGCGAGGTGACCAACGTCAAGATCAACAGTCATAAATTATGTTGATCTGTGCCTTTAATATGATGTGATGAAAACGGCACTTTACATCTGTGGCCTTCCTTTCAAAAACCTATAACACCAGTCTCATAGTGAGAAAAACATCAGACAAATCCCAGTAACGGGGTGTCCTGTAATAAACCTGACCAGTCCTCCTTGAAACTGCCAAGGTCCTCAAAAGCGAGGAGAGGCTGAGAAACTGTCCCAGCTACAAGGAGTCTAAGGAGACATGACATCTCTATGTAATGTGGCATCCTGGATGGGGTCCTAGAACAGAAGGAGGACACTAGGTGAAAACTAAGGAGATCTGAGTAAACTATGGATTTTAATAATGATGTGTTGATACTGGCTCATTAATTGTACTGTACTAACGTAAGCTGTTAATGCTAAGGGAAGTTGTGTGAAGGGCGTAGTGTAGTATATTCCTATACACTCTCTGTACTATCTGCTTAATTTTCCTGTGAATCTAAAACTGTTCTAAAAATAAAGAATATTAATAATAGTAATAGTAATAAAATACATATAAGGCAGTGGTACTAGTTTGCCCAGGCAGAGGGTGCATCAAGGATAGAGGAAATATTTGTTTATTTTTTGGACCTCAATAGACCTTGACAGCATTATGTTAAGGGAAATAAGCCAGATAAAGACAAATACTGAATGATCTCACTTATATGTGGCATCTAAAAAAAACATGAACTCACAGATGTGGAGAAGAGATTGGGGTTGCTAGAGGCAGGGACTGGGGGATGGGTGAAGGGGTCAAAAGGAACAAACTTCCAGTTATAAGACAAAAAAAAAAAAAAAGGGACTTCCCTGGTGGTGCAGTGGTTGAGAATCCACCTGCCAATGCAGGGGACACGGGTTCGAGCCCTGGTCCGGGAAGATCCCACATGCCGTGGAACAACTTACCCCTGCACCACAAGTACTGAACCTGCGCTCTAGAGCCCGCGAGCCACAACTACTGAGCCCGTGTGCCACAACTACTGAAGCCCATGCGCCTACAGCCTGTGCTCCACAACAAGAGAAGCCACTGCAATGAGAAGCCCGCGCACCACAACGAAGAGCAGCCCCTGCTTGCTGCAACTAGAGAAAGCCCGCGTGCAGCAACGAAGACCCAGCGCAGCCACAAATAAATAAATAAATTTATTTTAAAAGAATAAATAAAATACCACCACACCCTTGAATATGAAAGTCTACTAAGGAGTGAACACTTAATAATCCTACTAAGTTTAATGTTTTCCACTTTATCTACTTCTTAAAGTAGAAAACGGTGCTTTAAAATAATTAACGAAAAAGTCAGGCACAAAGATCACATATTGTGTGATTCCATTCGTATGAAATATCGAATATAGGTAAATCCATAGGGACAGAAATCAGGTTAATAGTTGCCAGAGGCCAAGGAGAGGAAGGAAGGGGGGAGGGGGACTGCCAGTGGGTATGGGGGCTCCTTTGGGGCTGATGAAAATGGCTTGGAATTCCATAGAGGTGATGGTCGCACAACATTGCGGTTGTACCAAATGCCACTGAGTCGCTTGAGAATGGTTAAATTTATGTTAAGCAAATTTTACACCAATCAAAACTAATTAATGATAATAAAGTAATGTAATAATTTAAAAATAATGTTTAAAGAAATAGTTTAAGTATGATAATAAAATAATTAGTGATAAAAATCATAACATAAATGCTGTGCTTTTGGTTTATCTGCTATTTTTTTTCTTTGTCAGAATTCTGAATGTTAATTTAGCATTATTGTAAAAACTATAAATGACCAAATAAAATAAAAGCCCTTGTCATTTGGAAGAAGAAAGTCAGGGAGCAGTGAGATGATGAAAATGGGGTGTGGCCAGGGGACCACATTTCGGCTGGTAGATGTGGTCTGTTGATGTGATAGCAGGAGGATTGGGCCGCAGTTCCCATCCAGGCTCCGTCCTTCAGGGAATAACTTGAATTCTGTGGTTCTCACTGTCTCTGTAAATCGAGAGGAGAAAGCCAGGGTGAACATTAGAAGACCTTCCCAGGAAGAACGATCCAAGGGTTCTCCTGCAAAGCTTTAGACCATCGGTGTGTGGGGGTGTCAGCAAGGGTGAGGGATGGGGGAAAGGGGCCTTGCGCCAGGGGCCCACTGACTGATGGCACAGGTGACGGCCTTCCCTGAACTGACCGGTTGTCCTGGCCTTGTGCAAACCCAGTGGCGGAGCCAGGCCACGTGCTGTGGGCGGTTTCACCTGCGACAGGGCCTCTGTCTCACCAGTTTCTTGCAGCCCTTCGGCCATGCATCAAGGTCCTGGGATCCGGTGGTTTTCAGAAGGACGAGCTGGGAGCGGTTGAATCTTGCGCCTGGTTTGAGGGCTCCCCTTCCCTTTCCATCAGCCTCTCCGGCAGCCACAGATCAGGGCGTGCACTCTGCCACAGGGGAGAAGCAAGGGGGCCCGGCCCATTTTCCCTGTGTTGGGCACAACCAAGGAAACCCTCCACGGGTGAAGGGCTTAGGGTGCGGACCAGGGGGCTCAAGAGACTGCTACTTACCCTCCCTCTGCAGCACAATGTCCTTTTCTGGATGGGCGATGCCAGTGAGGACAGATTCACCACCACTGGCAAGGGGACCTACCGCCTGGGAGGTGCAGGCGTTACTCTGGAGGAGGGGGCTCTGAGGTCTCTCTCCCCATGCTGGCAGTCGCCTCCTCACACCCAGGACCGTCCTCTGGCGAGGTGCTCAACACTGATGGATCCTTGCTCCCTTGCAGATTCGTTTCCATCCTCAAGAGTTACTAAGCCGTCCATCATCCGGGCCTAGAGCAAGGAGAAGCTTCCCCAAAGGTGGGCCACGATTACCTAACTCAGAGCTCCCTCTTCTGTCACTCCAAGTGTCAGAATTAGAACCGGGGGAGAAAGCCATCATTTTCAGATTCAGGTCAAATAGGCAAAATAGTTTAAAATCTTTAGTGCCTTCAATAACCGTAAAAGATGGCAGAAAGCAGACACCTGTTTAAGACATGGAGCAAGGGGCATTTACAAGTCATTCACCTTCCGAAATGTGCCGTCAGGAAGTTCCCAAACAGGCACAGTGAAAAGCTGCTACGTGCTATTTTAGGCTGAAGTTGTCAATAAGTTATAGCCAGAGGTAACGGAAAGGAGAAAATTTCCACCCTTTGAAGTAACCATGATAAAAAAAAAGAATCTCAATCACTCAGCACACCTTTCTTCTAATGCAAGACAGCATAATAACAGGGGGGCATCTTCTAGATGTGGTCATTCGGACACGTGTTCATTCATTTATTGAACAAATGTGTGTCAAAGGTTTAGGATGGGCAAATTAAGGAAGCAGTGGGAATACAGGGGTAGGATCTCCACGCTGCCCAGAGTGACTTTATCAGCGAACACAGGAAGTAGATAATTAGCAGACAGGAAGTACTCTACTATGATACATATCCAGGGTTCTGTGAGAGGAAAAAGACTCATGTCTTCAGTTTCGGGAACATTCCCAGGAGAAGTGACACCCACCGCTGAGCCTAGAAAGACCTAACCAGGCACAAGGCGGTAAGTTGAGGCAAGGGAGTCAGCAACATGGGAACTGAATGAGGGCCCCGGAGACATTCCGGGAAACTTGGGTAGTTCTGTGGGCTAGCCCTGCAGACTTGAGTCTTCAGTGTCTCGAGAGCAGTGTGCCTCTCAGATGGTAGAGTGAGACCCGGGTTCAAATCCCACCCCTGCCACTTATTAGCTGTGTAAGAAGCTTTTCCCCACCCCATGCACCCTTGACCCCATATGTGCACACACATCTTGGTCTGCTCAAGAGTGTTCCCACCTGTAGGGACTGCCCTGGCGGTCCAGTAGTTAGGACTTCATGCTTCCAATTCAGGGGACGCAGGTTCGATCCCTGGTCAGGGAGTTCAAGATCCCACAAGCTGTGCGGCGTGGCCGAAAAAAGGACTGGTCCTGCCTCTTAACTTAGAATCAAGAGGTCTACTAACCACCTAAGCCTAAAATCTCAAAGGCTTAACACAAAAGCAAACCTATTTCTTACTCATATTACACGTCCAACAACGGTCACCTTGGCTCTACTCCACATGGACACTCGGGGACCCAGGCTGGTGGAGGTGCTACCATATTGTAGCTGAACCTTCTAAATAAGTGGCCTCTGGAGACACCACGAAACCCGAAGAGAGACCTGGAGAGCCAGGTAGGGGCTGCCGAGGCCAAGCCTTGAAACGACAAACCTTATTTCTACCCACATCTCCTCAGGCAGAACTGAGCCACCTGGGCCCAGTCTAACAGCAAGAGAGGCTGAGAAGCGCAGGGGAACTTGAGGATTTTCAGTAAAAGCGGATCGTTGCTGCCGTACCTGGATGGTAATGAGAAAGATGAGTCGATCAAGTAAATAAGGTCAAGATTGCAAAGCATCTTGATTTCCAGGGTCAAGTGTTAGCACATTACCCTGGAGGCATCAAAGAGGCACCACAGAGGCACAAGGAAAAGGCCAACGTTCAAAGTGTTGCTTTAGAAAATTAAAACTAATGCCAGGATAAAGGATGGCTTAGAAGAAGGCCCTACAGTGAGGGAGACCAGTTTAGAGGATGTTGTCACAGTCTTGGCATTTGGTAATAGAGATGTCTTAGCACGAGAGAAGGAGAGAGAAAAGTGGAGTGAACAGTGCATTTTCTGTAGAAGACTGATTACATGGACTGTCGAGATTGGAAATCCAGATTTTGGAGTCAAGAGGTGATATTTGAAACCATGAAAGCCTGCAAGGGAGGAAGGAGAGGGGTCCACCCAGAGCTTCTCTTTCCCTTGGCAAATAGGGCCTGGTGCAGGGACAGTGAAAAGTCAGCTCCCTCAAGGGCAGCCAGTGTTGAGAAGGCAAGATCTAGATTTGGGCTTTCTATCTTTTTGGACATTTCTCATGCTTTGCAGGAACAATCAAGGGACCAAGGATGAAAGTCAAGATTTCCCTGGTGGCATAGTGGTTAAGAATCTGCCTGCCAATGCAGGGGACACAGGTTCGAGCCCTGGTCCGGGAAGATCCCACATGCCGCAGAGCAACTAACCCTGTGCGCCACAACTACTGAGCCTGCGCTCTAGAGCCCGCGAGCCACAACTGCTGAAGCCTGCACGCCTAGAGCCTGTGCTCTGCAACAAAGAGAAGCCACCGTAATGAGAAGCCCGGGCACCACAACGAAGAGTAGCCCCTGATCGCTGCAACTAGAGAAAGCCCACGCACAGCAACGAAGACCCAACGCAGACAAAAATAAAATATAAATAAATAAATAAATTTATATTTAAAAAAAAAAGACCCAACGCAGCCAAAAGAAACAACGAAATAAAATGAAGGCATGTTACCTTTGTAATAAGATTATAAAGTAAGGTTTTTAGTATAAAGAAGAAAAGAAAAATGTCGAATTAAAAGCAAATTTCCATCTCCATTAACCAATAATTCTTCCATGAGAATCATATGCATTTTAGTCCTGTGACGCCTGCCCCTAATCCTGACACACGTTTGCTGGACCCCAACACCCACGGGAACTGGCTGGGAAGATTTTACCTTGGTGAACACAACATAACACACACACACAGCCCTGTTATGGGCAACTCAATGGTTCTCTCTTTTCATCTTTATCCAGTCATTCCCTGACCTATCAATTAGTGAACTAGACTTACTGTTTGGAATAGAAAATATCACATTCACTGGATGCGAAGAGAAAATCCCCTTTCTAGTCTTCCCATACTCTCCCCTTAGGCCACCCACCCCCGTTCTTTATTTCAGGAAGCTCCTCTTTAAATGCCAGGTGTTGCAACATGTAAGCTGTTGGGCACAAGACAAGTGAAACCCACTCAGAATACAGGTGAATAAGCAAAATTCTCCTACTGTTTTTAAGAAAAAAAAAAAGAAAGCTCAACGTGTGTGCTGTATGCGCAGAGTCAAGAGCCTTATCTTCATATATGAAGGATGACATCCTATTAAAAACACAAAGTGTTTTGCTTTCATGTTTGACACTCTCAATCCGTGGTGTCTAGGAGACTCCTATATCAATACCCGTGATAAGCATAAATGACAAAAATAGACCATAGAATAGCCCAACACAGTGGTTAAAGATACTGGCTTTGTATTTAATCGTATTTGGATGCAGAACCTGGCTCTATCCCTCCCCTCGTGAATGACTCTGGGCGAGTCCCCGGGCCTCCATTCCTGCTTCCTCGCCTGTGGAAGGTCAGCCGTGACTCCGCCGCACAGGGCTGTTGCAGCTACAGGAAGAGACAAGCATGGAAAGTGCTCAACCTTGTGCCTCGTGCACAGGGAGCCCCTACAGATGAGGGGCCCTCTTCAAAAAACTGCCGTATGATGAGAAAGTGAAGCCCCAACGTTTCAGGGCTCAGCACGGGCCAAGCCACCCTCCTAGGACCCTGGTCCCCTGAAGCTCCTGACACTTGCTGGTAAATTCACTCTTTTACTCACTGAGGAGTGGGACCCACTCAGGTGCCCTCTGTCTCAAACATTTGGGCTGGGGAGGGCACCCGCAGTGGCAGCACAGTCAGACTGCATCCAGTCCTGGCAGGGAAACTGAAGGCAACACACTTCTAGAGATGCCGTCATCAGTCCCTTTGGTGGGATTTGCCCTTGGCTCTCCACGCTACAGCTCTGTCATTCTGGAGATCCAGGCTTTCCAAGGCCATGGCTGAATAACCAACTCTTCCTCTTGCTTCTACTCATCCAGGGCTTCCACTGCCTAGAGGCTCGGCTCGCTGCCTTTCTCTGCTCCTCTGAACTCCCCAGAAGCGGCTATAGACATGGTAGGCGCCAAAGGCATCTTCTATGTAGCTAGAGCACATTGGATAAATTAAACATAGAACTACCATATGATTTGGCCATTCCACTTCTGGGTAGATAGCCAAAGGAAAGGAAATCATTATCTCGAAGAGGTATCTGTTCTTCTATGCTCCTAGTGGCATTATTCACATAGCCAAAAGATGGAAACAACATAAGTGTATGTCAATAGATGAATGGATAAGTAAATGTGATATATATATATATATATATAAATATAATGTATATATAATTGAATTATATATATATATATTCTTAGAAAAAGGAAGGAAATCCTATCATTTGCAATAACGTGGATGAACCTAGAAGGTATTACGCTAAGCGAAATAAGCCAGACAGAGAAAGACAAATACCACATGGTATCACTTATATGTGGAATCTTCAAAAAAAAAAGTTGAACTCATAGAAACAGAGAGTAGAAAAGTGGTTTCCAGGGGCTGGGGGTGGCGGTGGGGAAAATAGGGAACAGACTTTCAGCTATAAGATGAATAATTTCTGAGAACCCAATGTATAGTACAGTGACTACAGTTGATGACACTGTTTTATAATTGAAATTTGCTAAGAGAGTAGAACTTAAATGTTCTCTCACACACAAGAGAAATTTAAATATGGGGGTGATGGATGCCTTAACTGACTCATTGGGGAGAATCCTTGCATAACGTATGCACATGACAAATCAGCACATTGTCCACTTTATCTTACAATTCTATTTGTCAATTATACCTCAGTAAAGCTGGAAAAAAATTCAGATCCTTATGTATTCCTCTATTTGAGAACATTAATTTGGGGTATTCTGAAGTTGGCCACTGATTTCTCTTATCCATGGTCATCAACTCTACATGTGGGTGATCAGAAAAGGAACAGCTCATCTGTTTCAAATTTTGTCCAAAATGCACCATTCACTGATTTTTTTTTTCACAGTGGGAAATGTGATGGACTGGAAATTTTTCCGTAATATAAAATAATCATAATTATCTGATTCCATGAAGTAAGCAATGCCACTTAGGAAATTGGAAACAGTTTTCCATTCTACTCATCTTCACCGGGCTCTGGTTTCCTTTGAATACCTCCGAAAGAGACATTGGATGTTTTCAGTTTCAATGGTATATGCTCAGTAAACTTTCATTCACTAAACTGAGTTTGAAACTATCTCTAATCCAGTTAAACTTAATATGGGGCAATCTCAGAAGGCAGGGACTAGGATATGATTTAATCAAATCAACTGTATGGTGCCTTGATTGGAGAAAGACTGGGAACCAAAGCCTGGCAGGCAAGCGCTCAATAAACTTTTTCATGTGCACAGCTTGGCCAGTGGGTGAATATACATCCAGAACTTGGAAAAAGAGGAAAGGCCAAATAACCAGGGATTGACAAGACTGATGGGGCACAACCCATGCAGACAAGCAGGGAATCAATGGACACAGATGGAGTCAGAAGAGGTAGCCAGGCTGCTGTCTTCAGGCACAAGGAACAGGTCACTCCCGCGACTGGATGCAGCCTCTCCTGAAACAGCTCACTGCCCTTGCCTCTGAATCCTTTGCTCACCAAGCAATCTACGGATCGCTTATTTAAATTCTCAGGTGAAATTCAGACTGGGAAAGGGGTAGAGACCTGAGCATTCTGATGCCTGGAAAGGGATAAATATTTGGGAAGCACTGAAAAATGCTGACTGTGAAACAACTTTGGAATCGGTACCCAGAAATCTCTGTTTCCCATGGTTCATTCTTCTCCTACTCCATCCAGAGCTCCGATAGATTTCAAAACCAGCCGTGAGCTTTGGGAAGCAATTTGTAAGAAGATGAACAACAACAAATCTGACTCTAAGCTCCAAACTCTTCTCCTTGAAACACCGCGCATCTGATTTCTCCCAGAACACGATCTCTCTTAATCCAATTTAAAAGCATGGTTTCTGTTCACTTTTCAAGAATTATGCAAAATAAACATTGCAGCAGCCAGGACTGTGTACTAGCTTCGGCTATGCCGCTGCTTGATAGAATTATCTCACTGCCTTCCACGGTATGGCTTTCTAAGCATGGTACCCTCTGTGGTCCCACATTAGATAAGTAGCCGGTAGAACGTGCAACACAGTCCAGATATGGAAGTGTCACATTTACAAAGTCACTACTCTAGCCCTGCAATGAGGGGACAATATTAATTACCTTACTCCTGGTGTGGAAAATGATGAAAATGACCCATGCAACGAGGATGTCAAACTGTCTTTTTTAATCTGACACCTGCACTGGAAATGCTAGGAATCTGTGACACTCACAATTAAATACCTGAGATTACCGAGCACAAGTTCGGACAAGGCTGATTTAGAAATTATTGTCAAGACTCACTGAGGAACTGTCATCATCTAAGAAAGAACAAAAGTTTAAAATACCAAAAAGCCCTGCAGAGGGACTTTGCACATGGTTTCCCCATTTAGAAACTGAACTGAAAGTCAAGGACATTTACTTTATTTAGACTAAAAGTCACAAAGATTCAAAGACAGGTGGGATTAAGAACAGTCAGTGGTCTTGAGCTGTTTCCAGAGAAGAGCTCTTTCCAGGAAGAAAAAGGAGAAAAATCCAAATACTGAACCTCCCTTCTCTCCTAGGTTTTGGCGAAGAACAGAGTTCGTCTCTGACTAATGTTTTGTTTTGTTTTTTTTTGCGATACGCGGGCCTCACACTGTTGTGGCCTCTCCCGCTGCGGAGCACAGGCTCCGGATGCGCAGGCTCAGCGGCCATGGCTCATGGGCCCAGCGGCTCCGCGGCATGTGGGATCTTCCCAGACCAGGGCACGAACCCGTGTCCCCTGCATCGGCAGGCGGACTCTCAACCACTGCGCCACCAGGGAAGCCCTGACTAATGTTTTTGTGTTAAAGTTTTGTGACATTTTTTTTTGCCCTGCACCGAGTAAAATTGAGACAGGAAGTAGTAAAAGATAAAAGTGCCAGATGACGAGAAAACCAAGATCTATCCTAAGACGGACTCAAACCCTCAACAAGTCTCAAGTATAGCCCAAGTCATCCTTTAAAAAAAAGCTAAACTAAAACTCAGAGAAGCACTTTCTATATCTTACATATGACAGGAAGATATTTCTCCTCAACCCCTTACCTGGCCAAATAAAGACTCTCTGACCCATTTCAAAGAGATTGTCCATGTCTATCTGAAATATTAGTATTCAGAATATGAAGAAATAAAGTATTTTTG